ATATTTGTAAATGGGGCAAAAGAAGGTTGGAAGCCATCAGCATCTTGCATTACACTCTACAACACACTGTAGCACGGTTATGATGCACTAGATGAAAACTACAAAGTGATATATTACTCAGTGGCTCAAGTGTGTTCTTTTTCTTGCTGCTGTTCTGCTTCCTTGGTTATGAGTTACAGCAAAAATTTTCAAAGGCTTTATTTATTTTTCTGACTAAAGAATATGTGAAATACAAAGGGGTCCACTAACCAAGTCTGTATAACATCATAGAAAAAAATATATCTACAAGAATGGAAGGGAGGGGAAATTTTCTAGAAAGGAATTGGAACAGAGTATTGACTATCAAAGATAATGTCAAAATGGCTGCACTGCATTTCATGACAACTAAAGGGAATGCCCTCTGTCAAGGTCAAAAGTTCTCGGGAAAAATACCTTTACACAAAACTGTCACTAAAAGAGCAACTCTTAAACAACCAAGCTGCAGATCCTACAGTCCTCCTATCTTAATCCAGGTTCAAAATTTTGTTTCACCTGATCAAGCACTAGCCAGTATGACTAGGCAAAGTCATACTTTTAATAACTAGGCAAAGATAAGGCGTGCTAAAGGCTCACACCAAGATGAGACACACCCTCTCTTCTTTATTAACTGAAATGTTTGCATTTTTTAATTAAATGGAAAAATGTCTTTCTGCAAGTTTATCTTTCTCTTGCAGAACATTTTCTCTTAAATGTCAAATTTCTTTTGTGATGTGCCCTTCCCCATTTTCAGAAGTCAAGAGCAGCACTAATTAAAAGAAAAGTTTGTTTTAAGCAGTACTTGTGGTCTAAGCCCTGGTACATTTCAATTTTTATCCCCTTTTTGAAGACATTGCTTATGGGAGATCTTGCTTGCTCTCTCATTCATACAGCTTAAAAAATGAAACAAGCTGATTTCAAGTCATTTTGCTGTCCAAGCACAAACTTAAGCAGTTTTTCAAACTTTAAATCCTGTTTCTACTAATTGAAGATTTCTGCAAAGGCATGACTCTTTGAGCTTAAGATTACTTCCCTCACCTCTTCTCCATGTAAACACACAGCCATACCCCTAACAACAGAATAAGCTTAAATCTCTACAGTTAACCTATGATTTGAAAGCAACATACAGGTGCCTCCCTCATTACAATGTACAAGAGGGTTTACAGACACCAGCAAATAAGAAGCAATTCTCATCTCAAAGTGAAATGGAGCTGAACCTTTAAACATCCTCTCCCACAACTTACTGTTCAACAATTGAAGGTTCAACGACTTACTAAAAGTAAGTTTCCTAAAGTCCAATCGACAGTCAGAAGCCCCTTCCTGTGCAACTGTAGACCCACTATCCATCCAGAACTGTTTCGGCATAAATTTTAGCACTGGACAATGAGGTAAAAAAAAAATATCCATTCTTTTTTTCCTCTATCTCATCTAAAAAAAAAAAAGAAATATGAATACAAAGGAGGCAACCAGAGGTAGGTGGACATACTCTATCTGAACCCCTTCTAAAGTCATACACCATGCTGAGAAATGACTATATGAAGTCAAACTACATTAGTCCATTTCTCCATCTTAACTGACATGTTCTCTAGGGTTTGAGGGTTCTCAGCCCTCATATCTAACTTAATGGGCCCCCCCCCCCAAAAAAAAAAAACACTTTCTCCCTAGTACCTGATGAGGGGATGACTCAAATGAAGAGCATTACTTTTGTCTGGTATAAGGATCTAGAATGTCAGCATGCTTTGCAAGATATTCCTTTTTTGAAAAATCACAGGTACTTCCCTGCTCTTTATCACACTGTCCCTTTTCACATAAACCATATTTAAAGCATATCTATAAAAGCAACGCTGATTAGGACACTTCCCTGAATCCAACGTATTACTATCACAGAAATCAAAATGCCTTTTAAAACAGTATTCAGGGAATGGTCAAAGTTAATGAGAAAACTTGAATTGTTCATTACTTTTATTCCAAAAAGCTTCTTCTATCATAGCAGAATCTAAGATTAAATACAAAATTATTCTGTTATGAAGTAGGATTTTTTTAAAGACAAACAAGTTCCTTCTGCCTGAAATTCTATGCTTGCAGTATCGCACAGTAGGACAATATACACATAGTAGTAGAATGATACATATATACTCTTTCTTCTGCAAAAGACAAAGCCCAAAAGCTGAAGCATTAGTGCAATAACACTGCAGTGTAGTTCAACAAACATAATTCAACAAAATCACTGGAAATGCTTCTGCGCTTTGGAGTTTCCACAAGGAATAAAAAAAAAAAAAAAAGTTGAAAAGATGGCATCGTTAACATATACCAAGTACAGAGGGGCCATTTCAATTGTTTCCCAGAGTGTGCTTATCCAAAGCAGGAAAGGAAGGGATTGTAGAAAAGTTGGCACCAGATTTCTCCCATCTACACACAGTAACAAAAAAATGAAAAGCTAGTTTGAGTGTAAATGTAATACTGAGGGCCTCCAAGGACCAACATTGTCAAACTGTTTTATCCACAGAAGAAACCCAAAAAATAGTAGGTCAGAAAAAAAAGACTTAAGTATATTAGCTCATAAAGTGCTAACAAATCTAAGTATCTGCACATTTTTTACACTAATTTACAGATTTCACCACACTTCATCTTTGTTGTAAGTTTAAACTCTGCTTACATTTAAAATCTTCAAATTGCACAGTTCATTTCTACAGTAGAGCAACCCATACCATTTAAGACACCTTTATAATACAAACATATCCATTTTAGGATTTTACTGTATCAGTAAAAGAGCCAGGCTGTTGACATTATTCCAGTACAAAAGCCATGTTTACAACAAGGCTTAAAGTATAAGCTCTCTGGGGCAAGGAGAGACCTTATCTTCATACTTGTCTGCAAACCACTTAGCAGACTGTCAGTGCTGCGTAAAAACCTAAAGAAGGTATTAAAATGGACCAGCACCATAGGCATTTTCTCCTCAAAGGGCATCAGCCAATATCACGAATTTTGCTCAGAGTAAATCACACTTGACTGTCAAATACGTATGTATACACCTAAGAACTGCAATTCTTCTGTAAAATACAAGCAAAACAAGAGAGGAAAGGAATTTAAAAAAAAAAAAAGAAAAGAAAAAGGAAGAGAAAGGTTTTGTATTGGCAGTCAAAAGCATGTAATGAAAGAGTTAAAGAGTAAAAGGCAAATACTTCAACACATAGAGAAACAAGAGTCCTGAGTAAGAAATCACTCTGAACAGTTAAGTGTACCACAGCTCCCTGATCTCAGTGAAAATCTCTTGTCATCTCTTCCCACACACCCAAAAGTTAATCAACTGGACAAAGTGAGAACACTCACTTTTCTAGGAGTTGAGTCAAGCTACTACGTGATGGGCAAGCAACGGACAAAGTTTAATGACACGGTCACTTAGGCTTGCTGTTTTCATTTACCAAATAATTTGAAGCAAAACACAAACTACTAAGGAAGAGGAAGGTAATATTCCACTTGTGGTTTGCTTCCTCTACATGTTGCTCAGTTCAGTCCGTCTAAGCAATCACTTTCCAGTCCCAGTAGGAGACCCAATGTAGGGTCTCACTGCAGAAAGAGACTCATAGTTATGTTCTCAGAGCCCTCATGTTTTCAAAGGGGCATGTTTTCGAAAGGGCAAAATTAAAACAGCAGTTAAAATGGACAAATATTTGAAAAAAATATAAAAAAATATTTGAAAGACCATTCAAATAAACCAAAACACTGGAGTTAGACCAATTCTTTGATATTGACAAGACAATTCAGAGTACAATTACTTCAGCGATCCTAAAAATATATTTAAAATACTGATTTAAATGTAACCCTTTTACTTGAGGTCAGGTAATTCAGACAAAAAAAAAATCATAGTATTCCCCAGACTCTATTTCCTGTGCTTAAAATTACTTTTCTACTAAGCTTCAAATACAAGACAGCTTCCCAAATATTTGTGCAATGTTCTTAGAGAGATCTACTTTTTTATTGCTCAGCATTACTGGTAACTTTGTACTGCAGAAGCTCTGAAATTCCTTAAGAAAAAGTGGCTACTACGGTCACCTTTACCAGACACTCAGTCTACACTCTACCCAATAATGTTTTAATTACTTAAACTTCTACGAATAATGCTGGAAAAGTGAAGAATTTAATAAAATTACCACTGACTTTTGAATTAAGTTGTTCTGTCCATCTTAGTTTTCTTTTGGGAAGTAGCAATTCAGCTGAAAGCAAACCTGCAGAGAAATTATTGTAAATAACATTTATTTCAATACTTTAACTATATTCATCTACAAAAACATTCCCTCCGTTGGTGGGAAAGTTGCAGGGCAAATAGCAATACTTTTAATAACAACATGTAGAATTGGGTAGTTAACCAGCCTGCTGGTACTTGAACCCTTCCAAACATTTTTGTTTAAATTATGCTGCACTTTCAAACTAGGTTCATATTCATTCTCACCATGGAATAGGAAATAACCCTGAACGCAGCCTTAAAACATCAAACTATTAAAAAAGTTTGCATATGCAGTAAACGAGTTTCTGGTAATGAATATTTAACCTTCATATGCACAGGAAAAAAGAGGAAAAAAAAAAAAAGCTACATTACAAGATCTTCATGCTGAGAAACATCTAATGCAAATGTAAAGACTAAGACGCCCAAATCATTCAGACTTGCTCAAGAAGCACAACAGAGCATTCCTGACATACAGTATCAACACAGAAAAAAAATACGTTACTTAGGGATTCAGTCTAGAAGTGCGTATTTTCCAATCCCCTCCCTGTCTCTCAAAATTACGCTCTTACTTATGGACAGTTCTTTTCAGTAATGCATACCCGCTTCCATGTCTTAAAGATATTTATTATAAACACTGCAAATAAAAATTAGATTCTGCTAGCTGATTTCAAGGCTCTCAATTCAGCATCATTTTTTCACTATTCTACTGACAAAACATTTACTCGAGTAAGAACTGAGTTAGGAACTCTACAATACTTACCTAATCCAAGAGGACTGCACAAGGTGCTAGTTCTCTGTGATTTATACTTTTCCAGTTTGTTTTCCTTGAGATAATATCCCAAGTTCTGGCTGATACTACATTCGTAGCTGTTTGACATAGATTTCACCTCACAGAATCAGCTACCCATCCTTCCTGCTTACAGATCCTACAAAGTTATTTCCAAGATTTGCCAAGTCTCTGACTTAAGCTTTGTTTTTTTCCTCTCACAGCCTTTTCTCTTCTTTATTCCATGTGCATATCACTGGAAGAAGCAGCAGCTCCAGGTGAAACAAACACGCTTTTTACGCCACAGATAGTAAAGTTGAAAATCCGAATTTCACATCTGAACTGAAGAATATTTCCCAGCTTCAGAAAATAGAGGCTTCTGTCAACAACAGCTATCTGGATACCACCATATTGCTTATCGGCAACAACATCTTTCAACAAAAATATTAAATAAAATATAAAAGAAAAAGTGATAGACAATTTTCTATTAGACTCTTCATTTAGAAAATTTGTTTCATTGCAAAATGAAAAAGGCTATGTCAGAAAATCTAAAAAATAAAATACAAGTAAAAATATCTGCCATGAAACTTTTCAACAATATCTATTCAGTGACTCAGGCTCTTTTTTAACCTGGGCCCTGACTGCTTAAGCCCAGGAGGAACTGTTGCATGAGCAGAGAACTCTCCACCACAAGATTAAAAACACCAAAAAAAAAAAAAGGCAAAAAAAAAAACACTGTACTTTGACAGCTGAATTATTCTGAACTTGATAAATTTAGCCACGTATCCATGTCATGGGGACCAGCATCAAAGGGCAAGCTGTTTTGTGCTTCTTTTCTTCGGAAAGCTCAAGTCTTCAAAATTTTCAATTCCCTTCATCTACTAGCTGTTTCAGATGCGTTTTCAGGTGAAAGTGCCAATTCCAAGTCAGTGTCTGATATTTCTCCTCTTTCCAATGAGGGAACTGCTGCAGTTTAGTTTTCACCTTCTCCCTTGTCAGCTGAAGCAAAAGGCTCCAGAGGGCTCTTTGTAATCCAAATCGCCTGTGAGGAACAAAACAAACAAACAAATAAACAGATCAATCTTCTGTTTGAAACCTGAACTGACATAAGACAAGCACACAAAACTGAACCTTAACAAGGAGACACACACAGGCACTGAAGCCCCCAGAGCAATAAGTGAGGCAGCACTTAAACCTCCATCCACGC